CGGCGCGCGCCGGCGCTGGGTATAAATAGTGGGCCGCGCCGCCCGCCACCCGGTTCGCTCCGCACCGCCAGTCCGAGCCAAGTGGAACACTGCTTGCGCATTTCGCAGTCGTCGCCGCATCGCTCCTTTTCCTCCTTCCTCAACGTCACTTTCACTCACCACCACTGTCACCGATACCAACATGAACGGACAGCTCAACGGCTTCCACGACGCGTTCATCGAGGAGGGCACGTTCCTCTTCACCTCAGAGTCTGTTGGGGAAGGCCACTCAGGTGAGGTGACGGGGCCTGGCGCGAAGTGAGGGCGGGGCGTGGGGCCGGGCAGCGACCCGCTGACGGCGGTTCTCTCGTTGGCTGCCCTGCTCGGCAGGCAGTGGAAGAGCGGCGGCTGCGCGCTTTCCTCGTGGCGCCGCTGGTGCCGAGCGCGTGTCCGCCGCCGCTCCCCTCCCCCTTCCTCTCTTTTCCTCTCCTTCCCCTCCCATCCGGCCGCGCGCTCCGGCACGCGGAAGATTCCAGAAAACGAGAAGGGCGGGGGCCGTGGCAGCTAGTGCTCTACCCCGGGAGGGCACTATTTCCTCCTCTCCACCTTGCGGTCCGACAGACCTCGAGTGGGCGACCCGCCCCGAGCGCTCGCGCCCGGCCCTCGGGAGTGCGCGCCCCGCATTGCAGCCGCAACCACGTGTCTGCCGCATGTGGCATCTGGGTCGGGGGAGCGGCTGGGCTGCCTGAGGGCCTGGGGTTGTGGAGTCGGGGGCTGGTCTCTTGGGACGCTTTCTTTTCTGTGAATTCCTTGGCTTGGGTCGCTACTCACCAGAATACGGACTTGCCCTTAGGCAGTATATGGCCTCGCCTTCGAGGCGACAGTCTCTAACTAAATATAGCGCGTTGAAGAAGGCATGCGGTACTGGGGCCGTGGTTGAAAAGGATGGGAAGCATGAATTAAGCGTAAGCTGCCGTTGCGTTTTAAAGTCTTTGGGGCTTACCGTTAGACAGGATTTTACTTAACGTTTCCTTCACCGGGCTTTGTCCACTGGTCCGCCATTACGGGGATCAGTTTACACGTGAACGAGTGAAGTTATTTCAAGGAACTTTCAATCATTACTCAGAAACATCACCTGGTAAAGATCATTATTTTGCTGGACTGCCTCTGCCCTTAGATAGACCACATGACATAGTTATCTGGTGTGATGGTTTCAGGGTCCACTTCTCTCTAGTAAATATTCTGTGCCTTTGATGGAATTCCATAAGCACAACCTAGTGGTACAGGAGAGGACAAAACCCAGGCCCTGAGGAGTGAAGGTCGGGTGAGTTAAAACATAGAAGTCACAGGCATTTGTTGTGGCAGTTTATAGATTAAGTCTTGAGCTTTTGGCTTGGCTGGAATGTACATTTTGCGTGGTTATTGAAAATTCGGGAAAGTGATATGGGGGTGGTGGTATTTCTCTTTCCCCTTCCCCCAATTTTTAATAGATGACAATATAGAGGAGAGAATCAACAAGGATTCATAGTACATTTGGGCATTTCCCAGTCTGTTCAGCTCTTGTTCCTGGATTAGTTACAATAAAATGAAATAATCTGCCATTTTATTCCCTTTGTTCATAAAGTGTCCTTGCTTTCATTGTTTAACTCTTTTATTGACGTTATTTCTCATTGTCCTAATTGCCATTCCTCAGGATCAGAGAAAAATTGCTAAGACAAACAAAAAACAGTTCACCTTTCTGGTTGGTTGGATTTAAAGTGCAAACTTTAAATTTTGGGAATAAAATGTTAAGTATTGTTTGAAAATGAAGATCAATACTCTAAAGCTAAATATTTCTTAGATTTGCCTATGGACTTGAAGACAAACCACTTTATTTCTACTTTCACTTGATTAATCTCAATAATGTGGCTGTTCTGTTTAACAATGGAAATTGTTTTGCCTGGGAACTTAATTTTTCAAAATGTCTGGAATACTGTAGAGATAGGACTGAAGTTCCATGTCAGGTGTAAGTACACATGCAATAATGAGTTTAAATGTATTAAACATGCTGGACGTTCTGCTGGCTTATCTGAATTGGTGAGCTTGCGGTACAGCTATATTAAGACCATGGTGTCAAGTTTTCAAGTAACATGTAACACTACATCCAGCATTTATTCTTCAGGCCCGTAGCTTCTGGTAAAACAGTGCTTTGATTATACAGCAGTTAAGATCTCCACATTTGGAATGCTATTGAATTGTACACTTGAAAATGTTTAAGTTGGTAAGTCTTATGTAGGTTTCAACTACAGTTATAAAAAGAAAGTTCTACCAAAGATCTGTACAGTTGTGGTTATAATAAGGAAGGGGGCAGTGACATATTTACATTAACAGTAAGTTAAAGAAACTGAACTAGGAATTTTTTCCCCCCCAGATAAGATTTGTGACCAGATCAGTGATGCTGTTCTTGATGCTCATCTTCAGCAGGATCCTGATGCCAAAGTGGCTTGTGGTAGGTTCAGAGCACTGCTTCTTATCAGCTGATGAAAAAGGTAGCATTATGAAAATTACTCCATAAGTGACATTTGAGTGTGAACTTCTCTTTTATTAGAAACTGTTGCTAAAACTGGAATGATCCTTCTTGCTGGGGAAATTACGTCCAGAGCTGCTATTGACTACCAGAGAGTGGTTCGTGAAACCATTAAACACATTGGATATGATGATTCTTCCAAAGGTGTGTTTTAATGAGCTGGCTTTTCTAAGCTCCTTTTTCCAAATATTTTCTTCGACCCTCTCTAGCTCTGTCTTCTAGGATATTCCTGTTAATCTTTTAACCCCAGTTGTATAGTTTGACTATCCTTTTGTTCTAGCCTTGTTCCATTCTCCACAAGTACTAAGTTTTAAGTATATTTGATTTCTTGAGCAGTATAGGTGACTCTTGAACAACACATAGGTTAGGCGCACAGACCTGACCACTGACATGCCACCCCCACCCAACAGTCTTACCATCTACAGCCAAGTGGCAGAATTGTTATTCAAGGGTCAACTGTATTTAGAATTCCAGATCACTGTTTTAAGAAGGTTATTGCTATGGCCTTTTCTTTTTAAAAAAATAAGCCTGTTTTGTTATAGGGTTTGACTACAAGACTTGCAATGTGCTAGTGGCCTTGGAGCAACAGTCACCAGATATTGCTCAAGGTGTTCATCTTGACCGGAATGAGGAAGACATTGGTGCTGGAGACCAGGTATTGTGATACGCGCTATTTACATCTCTTCTAACATTAAATTCTGAAGCTTGGATCGATAACATTGGTGACTTTCCTTTTTTAGGGTTTGATGTTTGGTTATGCCACTGATGAAACTGAGGAATGCATGCCTTTAACCATAGTCTTAGCACACAAGCTCAATGCCAAACTGGCTGAACTACGCCGCAATGGCACTTTACCTTGGTTACGCCCAGATTCTAAAACTCAAGTAAGTGGTTACACATACGTATTAC